CTTTTGATTCCATTTCTTCTCCCGGGTGCATGTTGGAGTGGGTAACTTAGTCTTAAGCCCCATTACCTCGTATATCTTTCTTGCTTTGGTGAATTGATATTGTGCTTGTGATTTTGGAAGAAAAGATTGTTGCTTTGGATGATGAATGTTTGACTAAGTGTGATAGGAGTTGAATTCTTGTTCGATTCATGCTAGAGTTTGATTTGACTTCATAGGGTTTTTAGCGAACATGGCAATGGTTGGATTTTTGCGTGCTTTTGATCATGATGACTCCGGTGAACCAAATTTTCTCTTTCCCCCTTGATCTCTCTAATCTTCTTGCGTGCTTTACTTGCTTTCGATTTCAATTTCGTAGATTAGCTTAGCTTAAATCAACCCTCAATTCAAGCGATTATCATGTTTAGGACGTTTTCGGTTGTGTGACTTTGACGACTAGGTAGTGAACGAAGCTCCGAAGAGTCTTTCTTTGAGAACGACCCAAGTCGGGTAGCTCGGTTACCACATGCCCAAAAATTTACTCAACACCCTATGTAGTCTGAAAGGGAGTTGGTCGAAAATATTTGTAATGATACTATAATCGTCGAGTTTGAAATTAAAAAAAAAAAATCGGAGATCGCAATTTTATTTGCCCAGGTAATTTAAAATCCTAGCTCCGCCCCTATGTAGTCTGAATTATAAATTTTACTCTCTGGCCAATTTGATAAAACCAAAGTTCTAGACTTTAGAACTATAGAGTATTCAACCGTACACTATATGCAAACTCGAACTGGATTTTTTTCCGTCCAATCGAAAGACACGCAAACTCAAAATGCGTTATTTTATTTTATTTTTATAAAAAAAAAAGAAATCAAATTTGAATATTTTTGACAAAATGCAAAAAATTCAAGTAATTATAGATACAATTTATATCTTACACATATTCACTTTTTTTTATATATACATTTAGTTTTATAGATTTATATAATTTATATATATTTACATATAATCTTTTTGCCATGTTGATATTGAAATAAATTTGTACCATGTTTTTTAACACTAAAATTTGTATTTAAATTAACACTGAAATTTTAATACAAATATTTTGAACTAAATTGTTTTCAAAATACTCATTATACTATTTGGAAACAAATTATCCAAAAAAAATGTTAATGCAAATATTTTAAGTAAATTAACTACAGTAAAAAGGAAATTCTAAGGCATATTTGTAACTAATTAATGTAATATGATATCTACAAAAATATTTTTAATACTTATAATAATTTCAAATAACATGATACTTTTAAAAATAATTTTTAAAATTAAAATAAAGAAAACTGAAAAATAGACATTAAATTTATTTTAAAGAAAAAAAGGCAAATTTGCACATCATTTTGACGAAATGAAAAAGTTCCAAGAAATTGCAAATACTCGTTAGACCTTACATGTATTTAATGTTTTATATATACATTATTATAATTTTATAGGTTTTCATAATTTATATATATTTATTATTTTATAATTATCATCATCAATTCATCATGGCGTTGTGTGCTGCTGCAATCAATCCCATTAACAAGAGACTGCAGTTGATGAAGGAATATGGAGAGACTTTAGAACAATAGAGTATTCAACCGTACACTATATGCAAACTCGAACTGGATTTTTTTCCGTCCAACCGAAAGACACGCAAACTCAAAATGCGTTATTTTATTTTTTTTTTTTAAAAAAAAAAGAAATCAAATTTGAATATTTTTGACAAAATGCAAAAAATTCAAGTAATTATAGATACACTTTATATCTTACACATATTCACTTTTTTTATATATATATACATTTAGTTTTATAGATTTATATAATTTATATATATTTACAGATAATCTTTTTGCCATGTTGATATTGAAATAAATTTGTACCATGTTTTTTAACACTAAAATTTGTCTTTTAATTAACACTAAAATTTTAATACAAATGTTTTGAACTAAACTGTTTTCAAAATACTCATTATTCTATTTTGAAACGAATTATTCAAAAAAAAAAAAAAATATTAATGCAAATATTATAAGTAAATTAACTACAGTAAAAAGGAAAATCTAAGACATATTTGTAATTAATTAATATAATATAATATTTAAAAAATTATTTTAATATTTGTAATATTTTCAAATAATATGATACTTTTAAAAATAATTTTTAAAATTAAAATAAAGAAAACTGAAAAATAGGTACATTAAATTTGTTTTAAAGAAAAAAAAGGCAAATTCGCACATCATTTTGACGCAATGAAAAAGTTTCAAGAAATTGCAGATACTCGTTAGACCTTACATGTATTTAATGTTTTATATATACATTATTATAATTTTATAGGTTTACATGATTTATATATATTTACATATTAGGAAAGAAAAAAAATAAATAAATAAATAAACGCACAAAACCTATGCTTGCAGGTTAAGGAAAAAAATTAATGATTTGCTACTCTTAGAAACAAACTCCCTAAACCTTACGGTTTAGGAAAGAAATTAAACAAACTTACTACTTCTATAAATATTACTCTCTCTTTCATACACTAAACAGTATTCATCATCAGTTTAAAGAAATTAATTAAATACGATTATTTTATAATTATCATCATCAATTCATCATGGCGTTGTGTGCTGCTGCAATCAATCCCATTAACAAGAAGCTGCAGTTGATGAAGGAATATGGAGATCACCGGGATACCGATTGGATTAGGGGACCGCTTTTGGGAGAAGGGACCTACGGATGCGTTTACAAGGCCATTCTCAACTCTCCCATGTCCCCTCTCATAGCTGTCAAAACCGAAAAGTCGTCTCTTTCAAAAACGCTTCGCAAAGAGTTTGAGATTTTGTTTCGTCTGTACGAGTGCCCGAATGTGATCCGCTGCCTTGGGTACCACACGACGAGGGATTACAAGGGCAGCTTGGTTTCTAATTTGTTGTTGGAGTATGCATCGGGAGGGTCCCTGCACGACGTGATCGAAAAATCGAGCGGTGGGCTACCCGAAATGGAGGTGAGGACACACACGAGGTCCATTCTGAGAGCTCTCCGTCACATTCACGGCCTCGGCTACGTGCACTGTGACTTGAAGCCCGAGAACGTGCTTCTAATGGCCGACGACGACGGCAAGAATTTCACGGCCAAAATAAGTGATTTTGGGCTGTCGAAAGCGAGGGGGACAGTGCCGTATCCGAGAGGTTCGCCTGCGTATTTATCGCCTGAGGCCGTGCATTTCGAGACGCAGGAGGAGCCTGCCGACGTGTGGGCGCTCGGGTGTATTGTGCTCGAGATGTTTGTCGGACGGGAGAATTCGTGGGCAGGGACAAAGGAGGAAATTCTTGAGAGAACAGGGGTAGAAAGGGAATGGCGGGACAGGATTTCGGAGGATGCAAGAGATTTTATGAGGTGCTGTTTTGAGGGTGATCCAGGTCAAAGGCCCACTGTCGAGCTGCTGTTGCTGCATCCCTTTGTCGACGATTACGCCAAACTTGTGTTTTCGTCGGCTAAAGGCGGTGTTGAAGATGATGTTTATGGTTTTAGTTTTCATTTCGATTTTGATGACAACTAGCTAGCTAGCTAGCTAAAAACCTGTATATGATAAGATCACTTGTGTAATTAATATATGAAAAGTGGTTTTGAGAAGGAGTTGCTCGACTTGTTCGATTTTGATCTTCTTTTTTATCACTCTTCCAACGTCCAAATGATTAGTCAGTAGGGATTGAGGGGCGTAATTTGTTCGTTGCCATCTGACGTTCAATACTTCTAATATTGTTGTGATATTCAAGAGTATGTAAATATTGCATTTCTGCTCTTCGGGGAGGCAAGCTAGGCTCATGCCTAGGGCCTCCATTTATTTGGAGACTTAATTTTTTTTTTTATTTATATATTATTAGGTATTGTGTTGGACTTAATAATGAATCAGATAATGGTAAAACATGTACTATATGATGGACTTTGAGGCCTTAAATATTTCATTTCTTTTCTTATGATGTTCGGTCAGAACAAGTTGTGTGAGAATAAATATTCTTTGCAGTGATATAATTTTTATTTCTTCTCCTTGGTATCCTCGTGAGTGTTTGAATGTAATTTATTAATAACTCAAAGGTAATTTATCAGTCCAAATGTCTAGAAAAAAAATGATTTATTTTTTAATTATTTATTTATTTATCTAATTAATTAGGTTTTATTTTCTATGATTCTATCTACAAATAATCCGAATTACTATGCAAGTTATAATCGAAAAATTCAAAAAGAAAAAATTTGTCTGCGCCTCCAAATTTCTGGAGACAACCCAGCTGATGCATGCATGGTCCGTCGTCATTAATCAATTATCCCATGTATATTTCATCACCTTATGGTAATTGTAGAGAAATATTCCATCGGAATTTGTAACCGTTAGATCATCATGTAACCGTCGTGGATAGTTGATCGAACGATTACAAACCCTGAGAGAATGGTTCCGTAAATGGATGTTACACAGTTTGTGTATTTTGATTACAACGGGAACCTATGAACTGAAAAAAGAGTTCAGTTCGTACAATATGAACTAAAACAAGAATTATAAATTACAACTCGAACGCGGACAGATTAAAGCCGAGGCGATTGAAATCTTTCCGCAAGACAAATACGCCCCGTATAGTGCTGACAGGTCAGTGCGTACTGCCTCCAAAGATACAACGGCTATACACTCGGAAGCTGTAGCACACCAGCCTTCATAGTTCAGGTGAACGAGAATGAAGTCGAGAACAAAGCACTTTTGATATGATGTGTGAGGCTTTGAGAGTATTCAGAATGCATCCATTGTTGTGTATCTTTCTCTGCAACTCTAAATCCTATTTATAGGACTTTCACCTCTTGAGAAAAAATCAAACAGTCACATCTGCCACTTAAGGCAGAGATAATGGGCAAAATGTTTTAGGTGTTAATACACCATTAACAATGAGTTAACACCACTAACTAGGAATTAACTGTTGGTGTTATATACTTAAGCTTTGCTTTAGTGGATATTACACTTGTTATTCCTTGATGAATGAGAATTATGTTTGGTTAAATAAGTTCCACGTTCTGTTGTTTT